AGGTAATTTGAATACGTGGGCACCATCCAGCATTTTCATTGATTAATTAGCGACTTGACCTACTCGGTCAAGTAATGTCTCGTGTGCATTCAAACTACATGGCGGATGTCGCATCGATCGCTTACATGTGACCGAAATAATTCGTTTACGGTGAAACTAAGTTGAATTTTACTTGCATTTGATAACAATTCAACGAATTTATTTTTCGTGCATTGTTATAATCACTACTGAGTAATAATCAACAATTTCAACAGTTGGAAAACAAGTAAGTTATTCACTTGTGAGCCGAAGCATGGCCGGATTGCGTTACCGTACCTACGGTACCGTACTTTTCTAGGGCCGTATCATGATCATTTTCTACTAAGCAATGCATTAATGTTTGTTTTTATTTGAAACTCCTGTCAGAGTATACTTTCCGTTACGAAGAAAATAAAAAAAAATGCATATTACATTAAATATACCGAGTATTTTTTTTCATGTGAACAGTGACGTGAGGCTTATCACTCTTCCCTGACATCTAAATTGGAGTTACGCTTATATTCAAAAGAGTGTACGGTGTATTGTTTGTTTTGTGCGAGTGATGTGGAAAAAAAATGACCACGCCCATTTAGTGATTGCAATATGTCCCTAATATAAACCGCACCCCGAACTTGAGCTGTTGATCCCAATTTTTTATTTGATACATTGTAATATAAACCGCGGTTTATAATAGGATTTTAACGGTATTATTACTATATTACAGTATTTTTATGAGTTATAAGTTTATGAGTTTTTACAGGAATGTTTGTGGTGTTCAAATATGCTTAGTCAAAACCTAAGTAGTTCGCAAATTTACCAACTTGCTGCCCAAATTACGGACTTGCTATACTAGTAATTGATATCATACTATTGACCAGAAATAACAAATTCGGTCAGTGGAACCATGATCCAATAGAATACTTTAAACTAATCGTCATCTATTATGCCATAGGCATTCACAACAGTCATAGTGTTAGAAAGGTGAATTGCAACATATCATCTTTATATCAAATAAACAGTTGTCGTCTGCAGCACTAAATCGTGTCCCTGGAACTTGGAAGGCTGAACGAAAACAACGATATTTTATACATCAGTTATGACATGTTCAACGTTCCGAGTCACGGCGAATTTTGGGATAAAGTGAAGTGGGTTATCTGCTCAATTACGAAAATATATAGGATTAGATTTACTTTACCTTATAACAACTTTTATAGAGAGAATTATGGATGTTTTTGAGGGAACGACAGAGTACTGGCACGGAGGTCGCCATCTTGTTTGTAACCTCGCTCTGAGTAATTCGCCTCGTTTTCAACAAGATTTATTTGTTCAGTTACGAACGACGTGGAAACTTTTGGTCAATCACACACCGGTCCCTCAACACTGATCACACATATGCTAGGAATGTGCCTGCGGATATTACAAGACTATCGATGGGTTACAGAAGTCAATACGGCTGTGTACAGACTGGGCGTTTGATTCGCAGTATATGTGGCTGTCTATCGCACACATTCGATCAGGTCCAAAAAAACTGTGAGCACTGTGATTGTGTAATGGTAACACAAGAGACTATGGTAGACTGTAATACGTCGTTATTTCGGAAGACAAGTCTCGCATCAAAGTACAATTAGAACAATCCACACTAAACATGCACTAAAACACCCTTTATATAGGGTTAATAGGATTACACCGCGGATTTTAAAATTGGAGGAAAAACGCTATGATTGGTGTGCCACGTGAGAAGGTCACTATAGAATAAACATTTCGGCTTAATCCGCTACAAAGTTGCGACTTCTCTTGCGTTCACTGTAATAAAGGCATGTTTGTGAACATTACGTAAATGGCTTACAATAAATTGATTTGTGCTTCTTTGTCATAGGAATACATGTATTGTGAGGTGAAATGAAGCATGAAACGGCTTCTAACAGACATAACTCAGAAAATAATGCTTGGAATCGAATGAAACGAAAACGAACAAATACAGAAAATGGTTGTCTATCGATACAAAGTAAATACGAATGAAAAATAATAACTATAATTAAACAACAACAACAAATATAATTGAATCGAGAAACACACACGTGACTAAACATCCACGATAGTATCCTCAAATAATCCTACGTAGTTAAGTCTTTATATATTTCGAATCCATCCGCTAGGTTTTTGGAGTCAGAACAGATGGGAGGTTCACATGAGCCCTCGGTTTACAACTACACTCAATATTTAAATAAAGTTTTGAACATCATCAATAACTTTCCTCTGACATTTAGTAAGCCATTACTATATGAGTGGTTCAAACTGAATATTTTATAGAATGTCGGTGGGCGAATAACAGTATGATTAGACTAGTTTGAATACAGCGAGTTTCATGAACTCACGAATGTTTTTAAGGAAATATAAAATATGTATAAAACATTTACACCAAATAGATATAATGTGTACATATTTTAATACATACAGGTACACTAACAAAAATGAAATATTAATTAGAAAATTTATTATATAACCTGGACAAAAGAAATCAATATTTTCCTTGCCATAATGATGCATTTTCCCTATCTGTGTAACTTCATGCTGAAATCGTAATAAATGAGATTTAAAGCTCACAGCTAGCGATTTAGCAATATTGGGGATTGTCAACTTTTTCATGCTGACATTTATGTTGTAGTTACATTTTTATGTATACCGTAGGGTCCATAGTATCTTTTTCTAACTGACTTGGCTACATTGTGAACTTGACAGTTTCCAGTACAGTAACTGTATTCTTCAGCATAAATATCGGATTATTTGTGAGCATAAGATTGTAATGTGAATTTTGTTCTTAATGGGATACTGTATGTGTGAATTTTCTTCATTAATAGGATACTGTATTTTGACGCTGTCTTCAGGACCTACCTGTAATTCAGAGTCCCATATTGACTATGTCCTGGACCGTTTACTAATACTTACTTACAGTGTCTGACTGGTATGTAAAAAATGCGACGAATAACACGTCAGAATAGTAAAAACAAAAAGTTATAAGTAAGTTTCCCGTACCAGCCTGAGGAGAGCCGCAGAACCAATACAATCTGCGAGTCGTCGCTGTCCACACCAGCAATATGAGTTTGCATTACATGGAAAAGAAGACTAAATAAGCTATCCCGGCAAGCAATTGAATCATCAATCTTCATGAGTTATGTAACCGATATTTCCATCTATTTGCTTGTGGTCCGAAAGTGAATGTTGTAAAGTTCGAGAGTTTGTATGCACAGTGACGCAAACATTACATAGAAGACGTTCCACAAAGAATTGCTGCGCATATCAAAATCTTTTATTGGAACGGAACATTTTCTATATTCACCAAAAAGCAACGGTGCCATGTTTCTAGGCATGCAACGAATTCGAAGCAGTCCGATAAAAACGAAATGCGTCCTTGAAAATTCTTATCCACTTTGCCTTTCCGAGCGAAAAAGGGTGGGCCAAAAATATAATAAATTATGTATCAGAGGCGCCCGAAGAACCAACATTTGGGACGTGAATCACTCCTGCGATGAAAAATCAGTGGTTATAGCCAATGGATGAAAGACTAATTACCTCGGCCATAGCTACGGTTATTGCGACCCAGTCGATATTTGCACATCTTCGTCAGCCAAGGACCATTTATTCGGCCGAAGCATCAACATTAACCCTTGGCAGATTTCACCACGATTTACTGTCGATCGCCCTCAAACGAATATAAGATTCACTTCGGCTCATTCGCATCACCCAATCAGAACTCACGAAAGAAACTACACATTTATTTGGTAAAATATCAATGGCAGAATCAAATAAACGTGTTATTAGCTTTTCCATTAACGAGCTTAATACTGATCATCAAGAGAAAACACATAGTGCTGTATCTGGGGAAAATAACGTGTTTGTTGCTGACACAGTCCCTTTGCAACGAAGACCGAATCGGGCAAGTCGATATGTTATCAGTTTCGACAGTTTTGTCAGTTTACTAAAACACAGTTTGCACAAATATTTAGACATTCCATCATCCTCTTTCACTTGCCCACAAACAATTTGGAATAAGAAATTTTGGAAACGTGTCAAGGATAAAGATCTTCTGTTCTTGACTCCGGGTGGACCAGCGCAAAGCCTACACGTCGCAATTGTTTTAATCTGTGATGAGCTCCCCGATCTTCACATCTATGATACAGCAACTCTGATTGGTGGCGCCAGGTCCTTAGTGCGCCCAATCAAATGACTCAATTTATCTGCAGTGAAATACAGCTTTTCCTAACACGATCACGCACGGGTTCGTGTGTCGGTTATGAATTGCCGGCTTTAGCGAAATTGTGCGATTCGGACGATGATATTTGTAAGACCCTGGGGAAACGCGCGGTGATCAGTGACGAGCAAAACGACACATATATCGTTGTGAATTTTATTGAGAACATGGAATCACTTTTATGTAATTAATGTTAAGGATAATTAAACATGGTGACAAAAATCAAAAACATTGTTATGTTAATTACTTTTTTCGCTTTGAAACAACGACGACGTTTTTTTTTTTTTTAATTTCCTCGGCGATAGCTACGTAAATTGGGACCAAAACGTTATCGGCGAGATTTCAGGGACGGCAGCGACGACCACCAAAACGTAATTGAAGGCAAATAAACACGTGAAGAATGAATAAATGTTTATAGTCGTGAAATAAAGTACGGGACTTAACCATTGTTTACTCCTGAGGGAAACGGAAATTACTCTTTGACGTTGTAATCGTGTTTATGCTGTGAAAAAGTGAAGAATATACTGTGACGTTAAATGCGCGGGGGGGGGGGCTTTATGGGGCTACTATCACGGGGAAAATTCTCCTTCTCTCGGGTTCTCCACACTTGTCAGGGGGGAAACTCGTCTCGTCTCTCTATCGCGTCGCCTTGAGGTACGGGATCGGGAAAGTCACTTATACTTTACAGTCAAATAAGACACACACAACGAAATACGTTTCAGCTCTCGTCTTAGTCGGTCAATCGAGCACTCTATAAGACACAACGCCCTGGGGAAAAGTCCCCAAGACTATCACAAGGCTGACCCAAGACTCTCTTAGACTGCGTCAACACTCGCCCCAAGGCTCTCCAGGACTCGACTCGACTCTCCAGGACTGCACTCTCTCTACTGCGTCTATCGTGCTGTGCTCCCCAAGACCAACTCAAACTCTCTTTATTCATTTTCACAACTCTAACCAATTACAATAAAAATTGCAGTAAAAAGACTCTAGGGCGTAACCTTCAATCATAAAGCCAATCACACTAAGTACTGAATACGTCATATCTTTTGATTAATCGTTCACTACATTAATAACTATGGATACCAACTGTCAGAATCGCGACGGATATCTCGTAATTAGTTCCAAATCACTGAGCCATGTTCCGTCCAAAACTTCAAATAAGCCTAAACGATGACAGACATAACACAGCAATTCAGCTAATAATCAACTAATTAAGTCGGTCAACAGATACGCAAAAACAAATTCATGACACTACACCGTATTCAGGATCGGGGAGCTTGTCTTTAATGCCGGTCTAATAGTCTTTGTCCTTGGTAG